CCTTTCTTTAGACATCCTCCGTCATAGTAATTTCACCTTGCTTGGCCCTTTCAACATAATGTGACTCATAATTGAGTATACAGTTATTGCTTTGCATTTCCGTTTTTTTTACTTTTGAAATATTGTATTCTGGGTGATGTTTCAGAGCAAATTCCATAACTCTATTTTTACAGTGACTGAACGTGCGCCTGGTGGTAAGCGACACGCCTATCAATAACAGTTGCAGTGCCACCAGTGCACTCAGAGCTGTAAATTGCAAAGATCTTAGGGGCACTGCCAATGTGCCCATCACCCTGAGACATAAGTTGGCAAGTCCCATGTACAATTGTTACACACGTCGCCTTTTAGCATCCATGCAATCGCTTATAAATCACATGTGTAGCGATGCAATCGCGCGTTTGTATCGCTACTTAAAGTCCCACGTGTGTGTAAAGGTAGACAATTAGCGTCTGCATCGCTTCTGCACCGCGTTTGCATTGCTTTTGTATCGCTGCTAAAAGTCCGTGTGTAACCGTCTTAATTTCACCAGCACCTTACCCTTCTAAACCGAAATGCAGTAATGCTCACATTACTAAATTTGCCTCTATAAAAAGACTATTGAGATATTAGTAGAAGTGACTATACTATTACAAAAAACGATAAACATTTGTTCAATATTTCCTCATGTTGAAAATCAAATCCTTCATTTTAAATATAAAACTTCAACTTATTTGAAAATCGGAACGTACAGCCCCGCTCTCCCTACTATTATTAGTATTTTATAAAGCTTGAAATTCTTATCCGAAATATATAAATGCTACTTAATATTTGACTCTAAAGTCAACTCGTGACCATGAATCGTGTAATTATTTCGAATTATAGGGAAAATAGCAAGGAGGTATACTGCGATATATCACTTAGCGAAAAACCGCGAAAGTCTCAAATAGTCAAATGTAAATAACTTTTATTCCAACTGAAGCAACATCTACTTGTTCGAATGGGGTAAAATTTTGAATATAAATAGTTAAATTAAAATAATAGAAGAAAGAAAAAATAAGAAATTAAATAATAAACAAAACTTGCAATGTACTTCTACAGATTATAGCCAGTCTGTGTAGACTATCTACGCATGCGCCAACACACTCTTGCCCACTATGTTATGTTGGTTGGGGCACAGCTATCAGCTGCAACTAAAGAGCTTTTAAAGCTGGGTACTGAGTATATAGAACTCACTCAAGTCCTTTTTCAGAGTGAGCTTTGTGAAACAGATGATCCAGCAGAGACAAATCAGACTCCATCCCCACCACCCACATCATCAACGCAACCAGCACGTGCATCGTATGCCAGCGTTGCCTCAGGAGAACGTACCTGCTCCACTACAACTGTTGAAGTTCGACACACTCAACGGTCAACCAAGACTATTAGAACTCCTACCAGGCCATCCAGAAGAACGGTAGTTTTTTCTGATAAAGTAGGACTAGGCCACCACCTAAGCAACCACTTAAAACAAAGGGTAGTCAACTATTTCTATCCAGGAGCTACTTTTAGTCAAATTATTACATTGTTCAGTGGTTACAACTTTGATAAATATACAACAGTGATTCTTATAATAGGTGATAGTAATAACATTAGTAAAAAGAAGTAAATAGTAGCATAGACGTGTTCTTGAGAATTCATGAGAAGTGTGGGTGTAAATTCATACTAAGTGCATTCAGTTATTGCTCTAACCTAGACATCGCTCATAATAAGTATATATATACCATAAATTCGCATATTCATAATTTGATTTGCCGTCATAGAGACGTTATAGAGTTATAGACGATATTTTGTTTTGACATTAATAAGTTCGTAAGAAACTTTTTGAGGATAATTTACTTTTACCCATAAAGTATCTGGACTTATAGCTAGTTTGATATCTTTTAATATTAAGGACGCTGTTATAGAAGATACAACACAGTCCCACGATAATGCTCCTACTTTAAGTAGCAACAGTATACTTATTACTAACCATAATTTAAACTGACAACAGAAAAGTCTACTCGTTTCCATGTAGTACATCAAAATATTCAAGGCTTTTGTGGCAAAACATTAGTAATAAGTCTTTTTTTGCACGATATTTCCGTTGACGTGTTTTGTGTTACAGAACACTGGCTGAAAGATTACGAAGCAACAACATAGAAAATTATGTAATAGTCAGTTCGTTCATAAGAAAGAACTTAACTAGAGGCGGATCTATGATTATTATTAAACTTAAAATAAAAAACTTAAAATATAGAGAGCGTAAGGATATCACAGATCTTTCTACGGAACGACCTATTGAGATTTCATGTGTGGAATTGGATCAGTTTGTCGTCTTATGTGTGTACAGGCCCCGCTCTACTAATTTTAACGAGTTGGAATGAATTATGGAGGATTGTTTCAAGCGGATTTTTCGAACCAAAATAAAAACGTAGTAATATGTAGAGATTTCAATGTAAACCTGTTGGAAAACTGTTCTACTTCTGCAAGACTCATTAATTTATTTAAAAGTTTTAACTTGATTAATCTTTTCTTAGAACCAACTCCCAACCAAGTCCCCTTCTACTTGTATTGATAATATCTTTTGTAACACAGATGCGGTATCTAAATCAATAATAAATTGCTTAAGATCAGACCAAAGTGGCAAACTGCCTTCTTTTAATTGTAAAATGAGCAAGAAGGTAGACCAATTTCTCTGCAGACCGATTACCACAGAACGAATTATTAGATTTCAAAATAATATCGGCAATACTTTAAATTACCTGCCCCATATACCGGAGGTTCCACTGTCTGACTGTCATATTTGTATTACATGCCGTTACCCAGGGAAAAACCAATTATTTCACAAAAAAATATATTGAAATATACGCAATTGAAACTTCAATAAATATATGTCACAAATACCATGGTCATCCTAGTTAATTTGACATAGAAGACGATTTCACATTTTAAGTTTTACCGGAGCTATGTAAATATTTGAATTAATTATATATAAAATATAAAGATAAAGATAAATTAAATATAAAGAATTAAAGTAATTATTATAATAATAATTAATTTGTAATACATACATTTACACAATTAGGCAGCGTTTTCATATGTAAGACAATTTTCTTTAAAAATTTCAGATAATTGGTTTTTGCAGTATAACGACGAATCACACGTAATATATACGTCTTGCTTACATAATATTACTATATTTCAGTTTCTCATTTAAGTGAATGTGTAATTATTTGAAAAAATATATTTTTAAACAACAAATAGCTACAATTATTAATACAAACACTTATACAAAATATAGAACGCTTTACCACAAATGGCGCTGCTGCAAAATGTCGTTAAAAACCAAAAAACAAAGATCTGCAATAAGCACATAGAAAAATTCGTAAGGTCCGCTGGTTCGTTCCGTGGCTTAGTTGGCATAGCGTCTAGCACGGTTTGCTGGAAGTCATTGGTTCGAATCCAGATCGATCGAAGGATTTTTTTCTATGTGTTCGATCTTTATATTAATAATTATAACAAACTATTGGAGTTATATTTTATCATGGTGGTGAAATATCCTGACATTCAACAAACTTAATAACAGATAGCTATTTACCTTTTATCTTGAAGTGTGACCACTTAATTTAGTTTACGCACTTAACAAACTTCTCAAGCCAGCCTTTGTCCTATATTTCACAATCTACTTATACAAATCCAATGTCAATTTTCATCACCTAGATCGTGGCTACAATTATTATCCTTGCGTAATCGATTCCAATTCATTCACCTTGACACGAATCCTTGTATTATCTACGCGTTATTTCATTCGTCCTATCTTCAAACCTTTTTGAAATTTTATAATTGTCATTCAGCGTTCAAATTGAACATGAAAAATTTCATTTTTTGTTTAATCGTTTTAACCTACTTTTCAAATCTCAGTTCGAAAAATTGGCAGTTAAAAATTCGCCTAATCTAAGTAGTCCATCAAGTCTGACATTTTCAATTAAAACACGTTTTTAGTTTGATTTTATTTTCAATTGATTCTTAGTTTGTTGTTGTATGATTATTTTTTCACTTTACTAATCGATACAGTCAGTCCATGGCACCTTATTTTTTTAGCTTCTTATGTTTTGATCCAATTTACATCGCCGCAGAACATAGCATAACGATGCCTTACATTCTCAAACACGTATCGTATAAACAGTGATTATTCAGAGGATAACAAAACTTTCTAATTATTTTAAATTTTTTACCAAGGGTTTTAACTTGGATGCATTACTTTAGCAATAGGTAAAAGCCAGTATGTGAATTTGAAGGAAATGTGATACGAAGTCAACCTGCAAATTTGTATATACAATGCATTTTTTGCATTGCAGTAACTTCGTGCTATAAGATACAAGTTTGAGAAACTAAGGTGACGATAATGAACCTTATGTGGATTGTGTAACGTACAAACTAGATACAATACGATAGCTGTGGGAATCTCCGAAACTGTGTGAGAATTCTTTGAAATATGCGCGACCTGTGTTTAGGCACATATCCATATAGCCCGTGAACGAAAAGAAAATCTAAAAATCGAGTTCGTAGGTAGGTGACGGCTGACAGCCGTGACCACAATGAGCTAGTCTTAGGTCGTGGAAAATTTTCCATTCTGAAAAAATCATATTTTTCTGAAAAAATCATATTTTTCAGAAAAATAAATATTTTTCAGAATATTTTTCCAACAAATTTCCTTTAATTTTCTAGATTTGACATTGAGTTCTGTCAAAAGTTCAAGTTAGTGAACGAAAACTACGAAGCCACGAGATAGGTGTTATTTCGCTGTTTCATTCATCATTTTAAATGTCGTTTTTCTCTAAGTGGCTTAGGCTAAGGCTTTAGCTATACAAGTTTATTTTATAATTCTCGCTAAATAAAATTTCAAACTGTCACTTTAACTTGCTAATCCATCGAGCTATGTAGCTCGAAGAATTAGCAAGTTAAAGTGGCAGTGGGAAGGGCACGTAGCTCGTAGAACTATAATGGCGCTGCTGGTGCTGGTGGCGTTCTGTAGACTGTAAAATAGCCTGGATAGCAGTAATATAGCCTGGCCCAAGGGTAGTAATAGCCTCCGCAGCCTCCGTGGCCTCCATACGTCTTACTTAGCAAGTTTTAGAAGTTGAAAAGACGAAAGTCCGGGTTATAGGAATTTATTCAGTACAACAACAATGTTTAATATCTTAAAATGTAAACGGTTCAAAAATAAGAAAGTAGATGTTTTCGCTACCGCGATCGCGCAGAGAGTCACCGTGGTACGAAGCAAAAGAAGATGGAACAATTCAAATTTAAAATTTAAAATACAAGCAAAAGAAAAAATGATACGATACAAGTGGAGAGAGGCGATACAAAAAGGTGGGATGACGGTGTAAGGATGTCACACCGTCACAGAACTAACGGCCGTTGGGGCTGAAAGGTTCTTGAATGGAGACCAGGAAGCGGAAGGCGTTCAGTGGGACGGCACCCTACTTGACGGATGGATGATCTGGTAACCGATGGGCGGCAGGTAACCGATGGATGCACGTCGCGTCCGATCGGCTGGTCTGGAAATCTTTGGGGAAAGCCTATGTTCAGCAGTGGACATCTTCCGGCTGATATGATAATGATAATGATGAAAAGTTCAAGAGATATTTCTAAACGTAAAACATAATATGAGCCTTCGAAATTTTATTCTTCCAATTTTTCAGGAATTTTTCCGAAAAAATGTCCACTATTTGAAGTTTTTCAGAAAAATACCCAACAGTACCAGCGACCCAATTCAGCTTATTTTCTTGAAATCACTAACCATTGTAATTCCTTTGAGACTCCATTGAAATTACATTGCAATTATGATCCTGTGAAAATCTAGTTTCAATTGCACTTGAGTCTCAGCGGAATGTCAGTGATGGCATATTCATACATTCAATTACTAAAGATAGATGTCGCCTTACTAAAACTGCTATAGAAATTACTATGCATACCTTAATTTTCATCTCGTTTTACGCATATTTCAATTTAGTCTTTAAATTCAATAATTACATATCGACGCTGGAAAGGTAACTGTAACGTGCATTTGGAAAATATTACAAGAAAGCAATTTAAAGTAATGTTTAAGAAGAAAACAAAACATCATAACTTTAATTTTATTTCTTCAATGGAAGGCTGGATCTTTCTAGTTTTCCAGTAACAAATAAAATTTAAGTTTTTCTAATAATATGTAATATTTTCCAAATGCATGTTACACATTTTACCTTTCTGGCGTCGATATAATATTAACACACCATCGGTGTGCCTTCGACTCGCCATTGAAGAGCAGAATACAAAAAAAGGCAATAGCAGTTGAATAGTAAGCACGATGGCTAGCCACTGACAATCACAACTATTAACTTTTAACAAAATACCAAACGTTCAAATGCAATTCCATTCACACCGTATCGACACACTGAGATGATTTAAAATCAGCAGATTTCGGACCCTGTAAAAGGCACAAAACGCTGGTTTGTTTGCAAAAACGTATAAAAGCGATGTAGATCCAAAAACATAGTATCATCTGAAAGTCATTTCTCATCGGCGTCTGAATCAATATTCTGGTTCGACAGCGGGGTCGGAAAAATAAAAGTATCAAGAACTACGACTTCTACTTTTATAGCTACCCTTCGGAATTAAAACTTTAGGATCGTAGAGTCCATTTCTTTCTAAAAAATGAAACGAACTGAACATCCAAGGACCTCGAATTTAGCATAGGTATACAAAGAATATTGAGAATATTTTGGACATCATGCCGCGAGACCCAATGCTGTCCTTTAACTGCCTCTGTGGCTGAACGGTTACCACCCTCGTCACACTGAGGTCCCGGTTTCGATTCCCGGGCCAGGAGAAATATTTGTATAGCCTACATCTATTCTCTTGTGAGTTTGAGTGCAATTTGTGGTAGTCTATGTGTGTGTCCATGGCACCCGCGACTCTGGGTTTCCCTAGTGCGGAGACATGAGTGTGAACGTTATTAAGTGTATCTTAATCCTAGTGTATAAGCTTTGAAAATTTATGTTAGCCCTCTGCACTTTTACATAGAAACTAGTCCCATTTGATTATTTGTTTATATTTCTAATCTTAACTCACGTGTCCTTTATTTACCTTGATATTTATCTAACACTCAACTGTAATTACGCCTTACTCTTGATCTTTATCAGACAGAATTCGTGTGAAGGTCCCTTTATCATTTTGATAATTATATTGACCCAATACATCTTTTGTAATTGCTGAGTATAAATAATGAGTAAAATTTAACGAGTTGGTTAGTTTCACGAGTCAGCACAAAATGTTTAAGTTTCTAGTTGGTTTTCTTTTTGTTGGGTTGGCAGGTAAGAAATTTTATTTTAATAATACAATTTTGTTACAGATTTTTTTTAAATTGCTGTTTTAAAAGTCAGATGTTCGAGAGAATTTTATTAAAGTTTTATGGTCGCTTCCCTCCCTCCCTTCACGATTAAGTCCCGAATAAGGACGGCTTATATATATATATATATATATAAAAAAATATTAGACAAAAGACACCAATCAAATTATCAGTTTTTAACACCGAATTAGCCTTATACAAACTTTATTATAAAAAATCAAACTTGAGTAAAGTGTATGCCTGTTTTTAGATTCTTTGGCAAAGCAGAAACAACAGAAAATAAAAAAATTGTAACAGCTTGACATTGATAAAATCAAAGTTTAATAAATAAAATACTTCTCAGCTAAAGTTTACAAAATTTAAAAAACGCAATGTCAACCTCAACCTGTTCGACAAAATCTATATTAGTAGGTGAATTAAAACAAATTAATGACACAAATGGAGTCGACAAAAATTTTTTTTTTTTCAAATTAGACCCAGAACAAAAAATTAAATAACCGACCAGAGTTCTGAAAAATAAAACGCTGCATTATTTAGAGTTTACAAATGCTCTGCTAAATTTGCTGGTGTGTGTATTTCTGGCTGTAGGATAGTTTCCTTTAAATTGCTCTTAAGTCTAATTAAACGCTTTTTCCAGTGGCCTTCCCCCAACCAGGACTAGAAGAAGTAAGAATAGTGGGTGGCGAAGATATAGACATAAGCGAAGCGCCATATCAAGTGTCACTAATGTACAGAGGACGACACAGTTGCGGTGGTACCATAGTTGCCAATGACTTAATTGTTACTGCTGCGCATTGCTTAATGGGGTACGTATAACTTCAGTAATAAAAAATATTTTATTTTATACAACAAAGTAACTTCAACTTAACATAGATATTACAAAGAGTCCAATAAAACATGAATTTGAAATATAAACCTGTAATATATAGTAGCTATAGAGCTCCTTGTGAAAGAGTTCGTCCAGGAGTTCGTCCTATTTCTGCCGACAAGCAGTAATGTCAGCATTATTGCATTCCGATTTTGAAGGGTTAAGGGTGCTGGTGAAATTACAGTCACACAGGATTTGTCATGTATGTCTCTGGGTGATGTGTTACCCTAAGGCAGTGGCAGTGCATCAGGCATTGGACCTGCTATTGACAGGTGTATCATTTAAAACCAGGCGCACGATTTGTTCGTCCTGTCACTAGACATCATAAAATAAATACGAAAAAGCTAATTAAATTTAGATTTAAAATAATTTATCTTTTTATGGAGAGCAATAACATTATTGAGTAGCGAGTGTATAAAGTTTCTAAAACAAATCAACTACCTATTCTTACAAATCTCGTCATTGCTAAAACACAAAATATAGGCGCTTTTATAAAAATATTTTTATTGCTTAAGTGGTTTTATATCCCCTATTATTGGATTGAAAGGGGTCAATAATAGTTCGAGAATATAAAAGTTGAAGTTAACTCAAAGGTGGAAGGGTATTAAACCCGTAACCTTTAACTAGAAGTCTTATGACCAACCATACGGTTTCTATTCAATCGGGTGACAGATTTTAAAATATTTTATGAATACTTCGAATCGACGAATCAATCCGTAGATCTCATTTGTTTGGTAACTAGATAGATTGAAATCAAATAGGCTCAAAATTAATCCTCAACAAAGCTTAATTTAATGTAAAGTGGTTAAGATAATCAGATTGAAACTAGGCTTGGTATCTAAAAATTTTACCACAATATATTGGTTGTGATTTGATAAAATATTTTAGCAAAATCATTTAAACAAACAAACAAATAAGTAATAGTTAGACTGAACTTAATATTACTCTTTACAGCGTCTATGAATGTAATTTGTAGTGATGACAAAATTTTCAATGACATTTGTTACCAAGAAAATGTAATCATTGTATGTAGCTGTACTCAAAATATTTGAAACAGTAGTAGAGCTCCTTGTAAAAGAGTTCGTCCACAGAAGTATCGTCACCTTATCTATTTCTGCCGCCAAGCAGCAATACGAATAATAAACATTACTGCGTCTCGGTTTTGAACGGTAAACGTGCTAGTGAAATTACAGGCACATGGAACTTGTCAACTTAAGTGTCAGGGTAACGGGCGCAGTGGCAGTGTCTTTCAGATCTTTGTGATTTATAGACAGGCGTATCACTTAACACCAGTCCCGCAATTTCCTCGTCCCATCACTTGGTACAAAAAAAAATTGCAAATTTTCGTTCGTTACAAAACCAATAGGCGTAAGTTTCAATTTTGAAGAAATGAAATGAGATGAAATCTCAAAGGAACTGAAAATAATCTGTCCAATTTGTGAACTACGCCGATTCGTGCTAAATAAGACGATTTATGGTAACTGAAATTTTGAAAATAATTATGCTACCAGATTCAATAAACAGTTGTGATATTGCATCACTAGTAAGTCGCTAAATAAATGAATGAGACTTTAATGCATGATCGTGATGTATACCAGAAGCTACCGGTGGTCCGTACCAGTTATCGGAGTTGGCTGATGATGATTATCATGACGAGTAACATATCATTTTCATAATTTCAGATCAAACCCCTTAGATTACCAAATCAGAGTAGGTTCTTCGTTCAACGACAATGGTGGGGAAATTCATTCAGTTCGAGAATTCATCAGACATCCAGGTTTCAACTATATGGGAATGGACAACGATGTAGCTATTTTATATTTAATAGCACCAATGAAGTTTAGTAAGGAAGTAGCTCCTATTGATATGATGGAGAAACATGAAGAAATCAAAGATGGTGAACACACTATTATTACCGGATGGGGAAATACGAGGGTGAGTTGATTTTATCACACTGGTATAAGTATGTTAATATTAGAGTTGTCATTCGAATTTTAGCGTAAAAATTGCAATAGAAGTAGTCTACTTTATTTTACATGCGCTGATATTATTGTTAGACGGGTCTCAGTAGTGCGCCTTGTAGGATGCCTTTGCTGGAAATGAGCACAGTCTTTCAAATTGCAATTGACTTATGGTTTTATATAAGCCATGTTCTAATACAGGACTTGTCCGACACCATTCAATAGTGAGAAACTGGCTTCATTGCGATCTAAAAGATAATTACTCTATTAATTTATATCTTTGTTTTGTTCTTTATTAAGCCAATACACAAATGCGCCATTAAAGTCGGAACAAAGAAGAGAGAAGATTAGAGTTGCCCACTTAAAGTTACAAAATTTATTTATAATAAACTACTAATGTTGCCAACAATCACAGAACAAATATAATTGAATCATTTATTTCATGTTATTATTGTCACAGTTAAGTGTACAATTTAAAATACAATGAATAATACGATCGTCACTAGTGTGAACAATAATAATCAACATAAAACAAAATAGTGTATTTTTTACCAACTTAATTCTGTGACGGGTTACCTAATAAAAGGAGTTTGAGTCGGGCATAAACATTTTCTTATTTATAACATCTATCATATAATTTGCAGGAAGGAGGCGGTATTCCACAAATACTACAAAAAGTCTTAGTACCCAAAATAAGCGAAGAGGTTTGCAGAGATGCTTACGAACCTTCCTACAGCATCACACCTAATATGCTTTGTGCTGGCGAAGTATCTGGAGGAAAGGATGCTTGTCAGGTACACCTTGAGATACAGCTTGCCACTCGTTTCAAAATAATTATACTATTTCCACCTCTCCACCAAAAGTGTAACCACAGTATAATAAGACAAGTAGTACAACTCCCGCCTGTTTACCGCGTCAATGCCCTACCCTCGCAGTGTAGGGTTATCGCAGGTAGTAAAAATAATTTTAAAAAAATTCAAGTCTTCGTCACATTATTCACGTGCTATATTGAAATAACAATTGTTAAATGCAGTACTAGCGTATTGTTATTATTATACCAGCATCGCGTATCGTGTCATGTCTATGGGAGCATAAATTACGAAATAGACATATGGGATTTGTCAACTTGTCTCAGAGTGACGGGTGCAGTAGCTGTTCTCCTCAGAAAGCTCTAATTGACATGAGAACAGCTACGGGCAGGCTTATCAGCAGGCGTAAGACTTGTCGTCTCGTCACTTAGTATCATCAAACAAAAATAGAAATGAAATGCTGAACAATTCTCAGGCCGATCTTATTTAAACAAACTCAGCAATAAAGACGTCTACCATTTGATGTCATTTTTTAAATAGTAAGCGAATGGTCCAATTCAATAATGAATGACGCGTTTTTATTAGACTGAGATAAGTAAGTTAATATTATAACTCTAATATTATATTCGAATTCTAGCATTCTGAATTGAGTAGGCGAGATGTTGTTACAATATTTAAGCTACGTTCCGGACATTATCCGTCGAACTGGTTTGGATATCTTATGAAAAAAGTGAATTCACCAAATTGTGAAGCTAGTAATAAAATTGAAGACGTCCAACACTTGTTGGCGGAATGTACCAAGAACGAAAGCCAAGGACAACTACTGATGTTTCTGTTACAATTGAACCGCTCCATCGTCAACTTCTTCGAAGGGATTCTATCTGAACCCTTATCAAAATATACAAAAATGTTGTGTGAAATGGTAAACTGGCCATAGTTGACGTAATACTTCTAATGTAATAATTGATTTGATTTGAGGACTGGCATGTTCTCTAGAACAAGAGTCCTAAAATTAAATGAAGATTAAAAAAAATTCTAGCATTGAAAATGTGTTACGGTAATAGAAGTTATCTACATCATTTTAGATGCGCTGGGTATGATTGTTAGATACAGGTCTCAGTATTGCGCCTTGTGACACGCCTTTGTTGAAAATGAGCACGGGCTTGCAAATGCAATTGACTTAGTGGTTTTACATAAACCATGTTCTAATAAAGGACTTATCCGACACCACTCCGATTCATCAATGAATGGCGAACTCTAGTGCACCGTGAGTTTATGCGAATGTGTGCATCTGTACACATCGTGCGCCATGAACACATACAAGTGGCGTTGCTATGTTTGTATGGAGTAACTCTATGGTGTAACGATAAAGAATAAAAGGATGAGGAAACAGAAATATTTGATTTTGCAAATCTGAATATTAAGTACTAGTCCACTGGCAAAATTCCTTTGACAACGTTACAATGAAATGACTTTTCAACTTATATCTCAGCGTGGTGGACACAGTGGCAGTACCCCTCAGATGTTTGCGATTTAAAGCTCTGAGTCGCACTGCATCTGCTTGGATAGCTTAATATGCTGCCGTCAGTAATTGCTGTCACGGAGATTCGAACCATTAAACTCTTAATCGAGAAGCAACCGAAGCAACTAAGATACTGAGATATTAGTAGCAATAGAGCTCCCCGTGAAAGAGTCAGTTCAGAGAAGTACTGCCACCTTACCTGTTTCTATTACCAAACAGTAAACTGAGCCTTACTGTGTCCCGATTTTGAAAGGTGCTTATGAAATTACAAGCACATAGAACTTGTCAACTTATATGTCAGGGTGACAGCGTAGTTGCATTACCCGTCAGATCTTTGCGATTTAAAGCTCTGAGTGGCACTGCAGCTGCTATGGACAGGCGTGTCACTTACCACCAGACACGACTTGTTCGTCCCGTCACCTGGTATCATAAAAAAGTTCAATACACCTATTAATAATATTAATTGATAAACGTACAAAATTAATAGGCAAATATTTAATGAGTAAATGTTATTACAGTTGTGCAAATGTTTACAAAAATTATACAGTTTTAATTTATGTGCATTAAAACATGTATATTAAAACGGGCGACTGTACCAGTTACCTTAGCTCTTTTACGATCAATCTACGTAATGTGGATGAGAGCTTCTTGAACGCTATCCATTTCATTGCGTCTCAAGATACCTTTACCGTGCTAACACACTTAAGCATCATATCATTAACCCATCTCTCGGTGGGTGGACACTTGTATAGATTGTTTCTTTTAGATATCTATTCAAGGATCTTTGTAGTGCACCAAATGCTTAAAACGTACAAAGGAAAAAAAAACAATTTTAAACAGAAAACAACAAGGAGACTCAGACATATTGATTTAACTAACTTCTAACTCGTGTATTTGAGTCGATTTTTTGCTGGATATGTTTGGAACCGTAGGTCTTAATTATGACATTCCGCGGCTTTTTAACTATATAGTAAACAAAAAGTTCTAGAAACGGTTTATTCAGTTATCCAGATAGTAAGGACCAGCGCAAACCGGCGGACGGGATGGCAGAGAACGTTAAATTTATCAATTTATATTTTATGCTATAACAATTGAAATAAGGTATAAATTTCAATACTCTGAGACCGACGTATTTACGTAGCGGCGTATTTACTCTCTGCGGCATTGGAGAATACGCTAGAGCAGCGGTGACATGCGACGGAATCCACCGACATGCGTCGGAAACTTCCCGTGTGCGTCTGAGTCTGACAGAATGCGCTGAGGACTTTTCGATGGCATAGTCGCAAGTGGAACAGAACAGAAACAATTACGAGCGACCATGAGCATGTTGTTGGATGCCGCGGCATAAGGGATATCCCTCATCAGTGTGCGCTGGTGGGCATAAAATCTAAATGTATTTAGTAGCAGTAAAGGTCCTTGTGAAAGGGTTCGTCCAGGGAAGTACTGCCACCTTACCTATTTCTGCCGCCAAGCAAGTTAGTATTACTGTATTCCGGTCTTGAAGGGTAAAGGGTGCTCGTGAAATTACAGGCACATGAGACTCGTCAACTTACGCCTCAGGGTAACGGGCACAGTGGCAGTGCTCCCCAGATTTTTGCGATTTAAAGCTCTGAGAGGCATTGCAAGCGTCATGGACAGGCGTGTAGCTTACCATCAGGTGCACGTCTTGTTCATCCCGTCACTTGATATAATAAAAAAACATCCCCCGACGGTTTATGCTGGCTCTTATTCTTCTATTTGATGGTCATTATTTTATTTATATATAGCCGTGGCAGCCTAGTGGTTTGACCTACCGCCTCTCAAGCAGAACCTGTGGGTTCGAATCTGGTCTCGCACCTCTGAGGTTTTCGGAATATTATGTGCAAAATTTAATTTGAAATTTATCATAAACTTTCCGGTTAAGCAAAACACGCACGTCGAAGAACGTTCACAAACCTCGGAAAACGTGTCAAGTTCCCAACCCGCATTGGCCAGCGTAGCGAATTAAGACCTAAACCCTCGCCTGAGAGGAAACCCGTGCCCAGTGGTGGGTTATTTAAACGGGTTGATTATGTTATTTATCAATGTCATATTTCCTTGACAGGGTGACAGCGGCGGCCCTCTCGTTTACAATAATAAACTAGCAGGTGTAGTATCGTGGGGCCTCGGCTGCGCAAGACCGGAATACCCAGGAGTGTACGCCAAAGTGTCTGCTCTTCGTGACTGGATAGATGAGAATATTGCCTTCTTAAAACTTAAACACGTATTAAGAGCATTTTAAAAATGACAAAATATAGATTAAGCGTTTTATTGTTTTGAGATTAACGTTATGTGATGTTCAACTTCGAATAATTTTGAATTGTAACTTTTTGTATTTTTGATATTAAAGCAGTTGTAATTAGATATCTATTCCGTCTTTTTTTCTTTATTTATTTTGTAATCCAGTAGTTATCATGCTCATTCTTTTTAAATTTCAACCAAGTATTTAAGCAAAACAGAAAAGAACAAAGACATGACAGTCAACCGTGACCATGGGATCTGTAAAGGACCAGAAACGTCGGTTTGTTTGAAATAACGAATATACGTAATTTAAATCCGGAAAAATAGTTTCATTTCTAATATTGATCTCGTTTTGGTAACAGCGTTATCAGTGTACATTTGACCATCCTGGGGGCCTAACATAACCTTTCCAAAAACAATCTTATTTCAATGTAAGCTTAAAGTAAGTTTATTATAATATTACTCATATTCGTACCATGACAAACCTGTCAACCAAGCAATGTATTATCGCAAAAGTGATAGAAAGAACGAATGATTTCCCAATATTGTCTATTCCTTACTAAAAATAGGAAAGAGATAACGCTATGTGAACTACATAATGCCATCTCTTTCTTTTTAGATGTTCCGAATTGTCTTATCGTAGTATAATGTTTAAGTATTTAATGTTATTTACATTCAGAAAATTTTAACTGCCAAAAAAAGAAAAGTATGTAATAATGAAATCTATTAAAATTACGTTGTTTTCCGCTTTTTCATGAAGAAAACTAAATAAAACAAGCTGAGTTTTGATTGTCATGTTGTGAATTCGGAATTATAGTCCAGTGTCAACTGTTAGTTTCGCCAAGCAGCATATAGATAGCGCTGTCATAATTTTACGAAATAAACATAATATTGAAGAGTTATATGTAAATAAATAAGTTCAACTTAACTTTTAATCATTACAAATCAATATTAAGACAATAAAACTGAAAATAGTATTGTTTCCATTGCATCCGTGTAACTATTTTAAGATTGCTAAATTTGACATAAGTGCAATATTACTTTAATGTTAAAGTCGCGTCACAGTACGAACTGAGCGAATGAATAGTCACAAAGCTGCCAAAAAAACATCATAGTTTTAACATTATAATAAGCTGACTTTAAGTGCGTTATGGTACGAAAAGTAATAATATTTTAAGAGGCTGTGGTAGGCCCCCTGGTCCGTTCCACGGAACGGCGAGGCATTATAGTAAGCGTGCACGCTGGTCCACTTATCGTATTTAAATCCGTTAAGAGTGGATACTACTCAGCTTGAATTCAAATTTTTCCCGTTCACTGGCTTTATTTCGGAATTGTATTTTTTTACAAACAAATCTAAATCCGTTAAAAAATATATATCGTATTACTATATGTTCTATTTAGTTCATTTGTTATATAAAAAAATCATTGATATACGTAAATTACCTATTGAATACAGCGGTTTTCTTGTAAATTTCGAGGTAAGTCTGTTTTAATTCAAAATTAAAATTTTATGGAATCATGTTATCACACCGTATAAGATATATATTTTTCCAAATTGATTGATTCAACACTTCGCTGTGATGCGGAATCAACCAAAGCCATTTGAGGTTGTATAGACTCATAAGACGTTTTCGATAAAGCGTTTGTACATTGATTTGTTTTCGTATTTCAACGAGCATAATAAAATTATACAAGTAGTATTTTATTCAGTATGTCAAGATTTGCTAATGAAGAGGTTGCGTGTGGTTATAAATATGGAATGGGAAGATATTAACGTCTATTTAGAAAAGTACGCTCGTTTAGGTGTGACTTGTTTAACGAAAGAACCGACTGCACCATGTGACTTATTTTATTAATGTATGATGGTTTTAAATCCATTACTCTGGCAGTGTTTGCATTTCTCTTATTATATTTCGAACGACATTATGACACGATACCGTTCTAGAAGAATCACATTCACAAATTAAACATGAAAGCAAATTTATTAATTAGCATATTATTAGTACGTACAGTACCTATCACCAAAAATATTAAACCACATTAAATTCTTATTATTTAATCCGTAAAAAGTATTTAACCTCAATATTTTTTGTAACTATGATATTGTCGTTACGAACTGACATTAAAAAGAACAGTTGTTATCACAAAAGTGTGCTCGTGCATTCTACAACTCTGAATCAGTAAATTAGAGATACACTACTTTGAAGCTGAAAACATAATGACGTCACATCTGTCATGGCTGATCAGTGCACACATTAAATTTATTTAGACGTCCCGATTTTCGGTTAGATTCTTGTGATAGGTAAGTACTTAAAAAGGTACGCCATTTTCATTTTTCTTCCAAATTGAAACAAATACTATTTTTACTTAATAAAAATGTCAACACTATAAAACGTTGTAAAAACTAGCGAAAGCGCATTAAGTAATTTAGCACAAAAGTTTCGCTTTTCCCGCAAAATAATAAATGCAAGAATAAACATAGCCATTCTTGGACTTCGCCCCAACAGCGCGACGAATTTATAGTCCCTGTTTTAAAAAAGAACGTGGTAAGGACTTGTCGGGCTTGTAAAAATTTAAGATCCCGTGCTAAAAGTGTAAGTAACAGGTTTTGTCTTTCCATTATGTAAATATTGCGCACTTTGTAGTTTAGCTGTTGAGCTATGAGGCAACCTGATGGAATGGTACAATACAGCAACCTCTGTTTATAGGATACTCAACCCCAAAAATGGATAATTTATACAAATAACTTCAATACATTATACTAATGCCATAATATAAGTTTTGAAAGGATCGCTACTGTAGTAAAGTTCTTTTTTACGATATAAAGTGACGGAACGAACGTCGTCGACACCCCTATACATGGCAGTTACAGTGACCTTTAAACCGCAAAGAACTGAGGAGCATTGTCACTGCGCCCGTCACCTTGAAACATTAGTCAACAAGTCCCATGTGCTGTAATTTCACCGGTACCACTCAAAACGGGAATGCAGTAGCTTTCACGAGGAGCTTTACTGCTATTATAGTTTCTCCTAAGTTATTATGACGAACCCTAAACAAACAACGCAAAAGTGCAAAGAAAATGTCTAGAAAAGTTGGAAATGAACGCCGCTTGTTTGTATTCTAAAAAGGCTTTCTTATTAAATTTTGTTCATTTCAAAGGAAGCTGAAAGTGCAGTACATTTTGCAAAAGTGCTATTTACTTATTTTAAATGTTCTGCAATTAAGGCGTTGAAGTGTTCTAAGTTAAACCAGCCTTTCGTTCAGATTCCCTTAGTTTCACGCTTTTGACTGCAATTTTTGTTTTTTTTTTTTTTTTATTAACATCATAATTACCACTATCATGTCAAATGCAAATTTGTTCTACGGCCATAGTTACCCGGCGGCCTCAAAGAATGCTACACAATATTCTCGTGCATCCTGTGGCCTGGGGTTCCACTCCTATGTTGTGGATATTCCAACGTAACGTTTCGCTTCCACATATAGCCGACGACTATGTAGTGGAATTCCCAGTCTGCAGACTTGTTTCCTGAACGGTATAACTCGAGAGATACCTTTTTATTATATCAAGTGACAGGACGGACAAGTCGTGAGCCTGATGGTAAGCTACACGCCTGTCCATAACAGTGGCAGTGCCACTCATTTAAATTGCAAAGATGTCAGGGGCACTGCTACTGCGCCCATCGCCCTGAGACGTACAAGACAAGTCTCATGTAATTTCACCAGCACCATTACCCTTCAAAACTGGAATACAGTAATGCTGACATGACTGCTAGGCGGCAGAAATAGGTAAGGTGGCAATTCAAGGCGTGAGTGGATAGGCATTATTCAAATCAAATCAAATCAAATCAAATTTTTTTGTGATACACAGGTTATAAAGTCGTTACAAGAATTAATTTTGAATCACTGTGATCCGCCTTATGGCATACAAAGTTTTCTTAGTTTTAGTAATTCTCATGCAATAATCTGTAATAATATTATAATCATGCAGTCCAATTAATGCAACCTAATACTAATGAAACATAATAACAATAGTAAAATAATCAATAACAAATTTAATAATATGAAATGTAAATTTTATAAGAAATCTTCAATATTATAGAATGTCCTATCATTTAGGTAATTAAATAATATTTTTTTAAATTCTGCACAATCGTTGCAATTCCTAATTTCAAGTGAAAGTTTGTTATATACCTTCGTAGCCATTACTATTACACTCTTTTCAAGTAGAGCAGTTTTACATGATCTACTTTTCAGTTGATGAGAACGGCGGGCTCGTGTGACGAATTCAAATAAATGAAGATGACGCTTTACGAAAAGTGAAATTTCAAATATACATATAAGCATGGTAGAGTCAATACTTTCAAATTTTTAAAATGTGGTTGACAGCTATCTGTTTTTTTTCAAGCCGCATATAGCCCGAATACATCTCTTTTGGGCTTTGAATATGCGTTCAATGTGCGGTGCATTTTCCCAAAAAATGATTCCATATCTAAGGTTGGTTGCTACATAACCATGGTAGGCGGTCACTAGAGCGTTTAAATTTACTATTTTCGATAGCCTAAACAATGCATAAGAAAACTTTAGTATCTTACCACATACATATTCTAGGTATGTTTGCCATTTTAGATTATTATCTATATATAAACCTAACAACTTTACTGTCATTGTTTCACCGACCTCCTTGCTTTCATAGACCACTCTAGTTTGCATAGGTTTTTTTGTATCTTTGTTTAAAGTTCATAACTTTAGTATTGTCAAGATTTATAACTAGATCATTATTTAGGTGTGCATTCTACATCGTCGACATCAGCGTGAGAAAAGAGATATTCAAAGAGTTTAAAATCACGCAGATCACGAGTATTACAAGAAAAATCAAAAGACTTAAGTTAAGACGAATAAAAAAAAGTCCAATCCAGAGACTGAAAGATGTGATAGGTCAGATTAAGACCGAAAGTGGAAAGCAAAACAAAAGAAAATCTTCGAGGATTTATCATTGTACTTATCACGGGTGCCACTAGAAAAATCAAATAACTTAAACGGCTCCAATTTGGACAAGATGATAAAAATACAAGAAACATAAAAAAAGAATCAAATTAGCTTAGAAACTTAT